CGTCTGTGAGCTTTCCAAGGGCTCAGGGGTTTGGTTTGCGCTTTTCCTGCCAGGGTGCGGCCATTTGGGGTTCCCTGTGATCCTCTCAGAGCAGGGCCCCGGGTGGCGACCCGCTGTCCGGCCGTCCGCAGGGCAGGCCTCAGGCAGCAGAGATGCAGGGGTTCCCTGTCAAAAGTGCTCTTCCAGTCTCCTCTCGCGAAGGTGACCGTCCCCTGCTGTGGCTCCTTGTCCACTCCTGGGGTCCTGACTGCAGCAGACCCTGGCAGAGCCGGGGTTGGGGAGGCCACTTCCTCCTGGATGTCAGGAACTTGAGCAGGCTGTTGGCATGGAAACCACTTCAAACACAGCGAAGAAAACACTGGAGAAGGACCGCATTTCAACCACAGCCTGAACAGGGTAAATGCGCAAACCCCCTCCAGATAAACCCATTTTTTACAGAGGCAGCAATCTTAAAAACTCATTCACCAAGATTTTATGGCAGCAAGCAAGGCAGTGGTAACTGCGGTGCTCCAGTGAGGAAACTGCAGGTGGATCATATTTGCAGAATTTACTTTTAGCCCAGGGATGGGGCCAGAAAAGGGCAATGAATCCCCACAGTGAGTTCCAGAAAAAGCCAGCAATGACTGACACCCCCCCCCATTTCCTGCAGGACACAGAACACCCGGTCTGGGGCTGCAGCCTATAATTGCTGCACTTGGGGAGGCTGAGGCAGGACACTGGCCCTGCCCGGGCAACTCAGAGAGATCAAGTCTCAAAATTCAATGGAGTCGGGGGCACTGCAGACATAGCTCAGTGCAAAGACTCTTGGTTCAATCCCCAGCACAGAAAAAAGAAGTACAGAATAGATAATTTCCTGGAAAATATAAAAAATGTAAAATTCCAGAAAGTCACTTGAAGTTGCTTGGCAGGTGAATATATTTACTGTGATGCAGGCGCCGTTTGTTTATGGAAATGAAGAAACAGCTTCATGACTACCTTTTCTTTTCCAGGAGGCTCACCATTCCAGGGAAGGTCTGATTGCTTGGGTCATCTCTGCGAGTACGCATTTCTAATGTAAATCTGTTCCCACAGAGACTAGATAAGCCACTTGATCTTTCTCAAGGAAAAATAACAGCTGCAAACTTTCTACTAAAGCTCTGGTCACTTCCCCGACCACTGCAGACGGCTTCCTGTGGGTGCCAGGCGAGGCCGTCCTCACTGACCTCACCAAGGTCGTGCAGCAGGACAGGTTGGTGGATGAGGACAGTGGAGACACGGCGCCCCCTGCTGGGGTTGCGTGGAAGCTCCTTTCAGGCATCTGCCTCCGCTTGGCGCCAGGGGAACCCCCAGGGTGAACCTCAGGGTGCCGTGCAGCTCCCAGTGACTTGGGACTCAGAGACAAAGTCAGCAGCCGCCCTGCAGCAGGTGGGGACAACGAGAGGGGGACAGTCATCCCTGCAACAGCTCGGTTCTCTGGCTCCAACGGAGGAAGAGATCCACATGGAGACGGGGCTGGTTACATCCAGCTGGGATCTGCACCCCAGTCGCTTCCTCCTCCGTCCCCACGGACAACTGGGCAGGAAGAGCCCCCCAGGTCCCTCCACACCACACGTTCACAGCTCTGAAGGCCCCGGGACCCACGCCTCTGATGCTGTGCCTCCTAATTTTGCCCAGGTTAAGAGTGTCCCGGCCTCGGGTCTTTCAGACTAGAAGTTGATGGGAGATTTTTCAAGCCAGCAGCAGAGTGTGCTTGAAAACTCTTCCATCACCAGCACGACTGCTAGCAGAGATCCATATTAAACGCACGAGAGGGCATCAACAAACTCGGTCCACCAATCAACCTCGGGAGGGTGGCCGCTCGCTGTGCCTCTCCGAGGAAGACCAAAGGCGACCCCAGGCCTACAGCCATGCACAGCCCCATGCGGGAGCCAGGACCCGAGTGGCAGCTAAGGTCATGAGCAGCAACCATCATTATTTCATTAAGTGCTGTCCTGCCCCAGGGCTTGAAGCCAGTAAATCCTTTCCTCCCAGCCACGACCAACCCACCACACGGGAGCTCCATTTACAGACTCCGGGATACAGCAAAGGCACCCTTGACTTTTCCGACGGAGTGACAGGCCACATCAGCATGGAGACGTCTTCTCCCTCCCTCCTCGGCGTGGCAGGCCACGGTGTGGTCCGCAGCCTCGCCGCAGGCCTGTGGGTGGCACTGAACAGCCTTCCCACGCATCTCCCACACCGTGGTGAGTGTGGGGAAGGATGTCTGGCAGCAAGCGTTTCAGGGTCATAGGGTAATCGCATGCGTCGCTGGGCTAGGTGCTGCCAAGTTCCCTGCCAGTGTCGGAGCCGCACGGTGCCCAGTCTGCTCCAAGCTTAGCCGACACAGTTCACTGGTAAAGTTTCCGATCTCTGCCAGTCTAATAGATGGTACACCTGCAGCTGACGAGCCGCGCCCGTCCACGGCTCCCCGGGGGCGGGCTCCTCGGCCAGCTACCTCAGTCCTAAGGCCTACTTTCAGGAGGCAGAGTGAGAAGATGGAGAGCGCCGGGAAATTCTGAAGTCCCACGCCAGGACACATGCTGCCAGATTCTCCCGCATGACCTGCAGTCACCTTTCTTCACTCTCAGCTCACTGAAACTTCTCGCACATGGACTGTGTCTTGTACGTCCAACTACAACAGTGCGTTACGAGAAAGGACCTGCGCAGCACACAGTGGCCTGACGGACTCAGCTTCGGCAATCACATTGGCAGTCACGCTCCGAGGGGCCAGTAGGAGGCGCCCCAGACCTGTGCAACACTAGAGTCTTAAACCCACTGCCTTGAGTGCTGTGCCGTTTTCTTCTCCACCAGTGTGAGTGAGCTCACTGTCGCCTGATTAAAACTACGCTGCTTTGCCCTTGCTGTTGTGTGCCAACTTTTGGGAACGCAGAAACCCATCCCAGGCTCCACCGCCCATGGCAACGATCTAATGGGTGGTGTTCTCTGTGTGTAGAACAATACAGTCTCTCTCTCCCCGGGCTCCCAGATAGACTAAGTGGGGCGGCGCTTAGCACGGAAACCCAAAGAACCAATAATTAGAAGAGCGAAATAAGAAACAGACAACAGGAAACGGGGAGACAGGCCTTTTGCAAACGGGGAAGAGATCTAGAGATGGAGGGCACGGGAGACAGGACGGACGGAGAAAGAAGTAAGATGTGTTGTGTGACGCACCGGCTCCCTGGGTTCAACCCCCAGCACTGAAAACAAGAAGAAAAGGAAACATCCATCTGACACTATAATCTCAAGTAATCTTGACAGAAGAGGAGATGGCCAGGAGAGGAAGAGGGGAGCGGAGGGGAGGGCAGGGGAAGTCTTAGCGTGGTCTTCTACTCAGCCAGGATTGCCCAGGACACGGAGAGGACGAGAGCACACGTGTCTGTGATAAACACAGGGTGACCGGCTGACACGGGGAGGCGAGGCGCGGGCGAGGAGCAGGCGCCCAGCTTCCTGGGTGGGGCCCCTCTTCCGCTGGCCAGAGCACTCACACGGCAGCCTGTTCCAGCTGTGCTGCCCATTTTAAGCCACACACTCCATGGTGTGGTCTTCTTTAGTCTCATTTGTTAGTAAGGAACAGCACTAGGTATTGCTAATGCATGGCGTGATCCAAGTATGTGGTTACTGTTTACACTGAAAACACTTATTACAGTGAAAGTCACATCGCCATGAAGCCTTTCAGAAGGCCGCACGTTGAGCACTCTCATCCCATCGTTCTCGCCGCTTTCTGAAGCAGCTCTGCAGCCTGCCTTCCTGAGGGTCTTTCCTCGGTGTGATCAGAAATACAGTGAGGGCTGCTGCCAGGCGCCACCCAGCACACAGGCAGCTCGTAAACGCACGCTGGGTCCTCATCCACCTTCCTCGGTGGTCCGGCACTGTGCGACCTCTGGCTCCTCCCCAGCGTCACACTGACCATGAAAGGAAAAGTTCTGAACTGATCCGGGACACTGAGGCAGGCACACAGCACAAGTGAAGACCCTAGGAAAGAGGGCTCTGGAGACGCTGCGGGAAGCGGCGGGGAGGAGGGATGAGAGTTTCTGAACCGAGGGAGGAGCCTGAGGGTTGTTAATGCACCTTGTACTGTAATAAACTCTTAAAAATTTAAACATTCACCACATTTGTCTATTACACTCTGTATATGCCTGCGAAACAAACAGGTTAAGGGTAATAAGCATATTCTTTTCTGAACAGTTAAGAGGAATTTATAGTTTTGGGACTCATAACTAATTATAAAAAAATCTTTATTTTTACTCTTTGTACTATGGCTTTAAATTATTCGGTAACATTAAATAAAAAATATAACTTCGAAGAAGTTTTATTTCCTAAACACTGACAGTATCAGCAAAGTCAACTTATCTTCTGGTCCATTCCCTGGTCCTGCAAGAGAGAGCTGAGGACATCCAATCCTAGGCGGGAAGGCAGCACACACCCACCCATAGTTCCCCAGATCCTCATGTGGTAGGTTTCAAAGGTGACAGCATTTGTAGGGATGCAAACTATTTTTTTTTTTTTTGAGACAGGGTCACCCTCTGTAGTTCAGGCTGGCCTTGAACCCATTATGTAGGCTAGGCTGCCCTCAAACTCACGCAATACTCCTGCCTCAGCCTCCCCAGCACTGGGATTACAGATTTGTGCCACCAGGCCCAGTAGGACTATTGCATTAAAGACTGCACTGATTTACACATCCACAGGCTATGTACTGAGTGTCAAGCACCTGCCAGGTTGTCCTATGCACCTGATCACTGCCCTGGCCTCGGACCCCACTAGGCTCTGTGTTTTACTGCGCAGGAAATAACTTCACCTGAGATAATTCATTGCTTCAGGGTCAAGTGTGGAGACACAAAGTCAGCTCTCTCTGTGCGCTCCTCTTACCTGAAGGGATTCATATTCCTGTGAAATTATTCAGAAAAATTCCAACACAGGCTCAGTACAAGCATCAAGAAACCGCTTTATGCAACACAAAACCATATGTACATGTAATCCATTACCTTACTATTGCTTCTTTTATTAACTTTGAAAAGTCCCAGAAATGTTTTCTTCTCTTTATCTGTCTCATCGTTGCCAAGTGATGATTTTCTAAACATTTCTGGAAAAAAGAGAAAGCAAGTTACTTCTCAGCAGCAGAAAGAAATTAAATATTTCACTTCTTAAAGAAATGGCAATAAATACATCTTTCACTCTTGAATTGGCAGAAATTCTTCGGAGGGGAAACCTGCAGCTGTTTCCTCTCACAGTGTTTGCAGCTACGTGAAAGCCTCGGGCGCTGTAGGACATCACGGTCTCTAGGGCTTACACAGTCTCCAGGGCTGGGGCTGCATTTTGTCCAGTGTGGGTGTCCCCATTTGGAGAACGAAACACCAAGTAAGTCTGTGAGAGTTTGAGGGCTAGGTTGTCTGACAGAACGCTAATGCAAGCCACTGTGTAACGTTCTATTCGACAGCAGCTGCATTTACATACGCAGGTGAAGGGATTTCAGTTACAATTCTACATAAGCTGACATGTCCAGAAAGTATCTTCCATCACATCGTCAGTGTCAGTGTTACCAGTGTGTTACGTTTGCTTTGGTGCTAAGTCTTCAAAAGGCAGCACTCGCCCTGGGTGGACAGTGGGTCTCCACTCGGACAGGTCACCAGGGGCCCACAGCCACGAGGGGCCCACGGCCACACGTGGCCTGTGCTGGCTCCTTGAGCAACAGGGCTTCCACAACTGCCCTTGGCTAAGATGCCAGTTTAAAGAACCACGACGGAGCTGGGCGTGGAGATGTGCACCTGTAATCCCAGCACTCTGTGAGGCTGAGGCAGGAAAAATGCAAATTCTAGTCCAATCTGGCCGACTCAGCAATTTAGCAAAGCCCTGCCTCAAAATGGAAAATGTAAAAAGGGTTGGGGATGCAGCTCAGTACAGAGACCCTGGGTTCAGTCCCAGGTACCATAAAAAACGAGCATCAGCGGTGAGGTGCGACTGCTGACAAGTTTTCCTGCTCATTCCGGGGACACAGAGGGACGGCCGGGCGGGCGGCGGGGCCCCGAAGGTCCCACCCCTGGGCCTTATTTCCCGTTTCTCTCTCCCACCGTGGCCAGAACGTCTGCCTTTTTGGTCACAGCCTCTAGGGGGCGACGGTTTGCTTCCCGTTCCTGTCCTTGCTTTCCTCAGTGCTGGGCTCTCAGTCCTGGCTCAGCTGCCCGGTTTCTCCTCATCCGCTGGCTGGGTGTGGGACATGCGGCATCGGCCCGTGGGGACCCGGGAGAGATGGGATTCCAGGGCTTTCTGGACCTAGACTCCGTCATCCCGGGACACACCAGGCGCCTGCACCTGGGGCTCACCCTTCTCTCCCAAGGTCGGAACCCAACGAGGACAAGAGGGTGGAAACAGCCGTCCCGGAGGACGGGCACCAAGCCAGCCCTGCAGTCCGTCGTGGGGAAAGTCGCAGCTGGATTTCACAAACTCCGCTGTGCATATTTCAACCCCAACATGCCAGACACCGCGAGTGTCCCGGGACTTCGAGTCTGAGTTAGAGACCAGGCGCCGACAGCGAGTTAGTGAGCGGCAAGACCACAGCCTGGCGCGCGCACCCTCAAGCACGGCGCAGGGACGGACGCTCGCCGCGCCGCATGCAGGGGCGGTTAGTGGGGTCCACGCCGGAGGGCCCACCGGCCACCACGCGGCCACACAGACACACGCGTGCACACACAGAGAGTCACACCGGACTCCGCTAGCGGCCGTGCTGCAGAGGGTGGCACAGCGACAGCTCCACGTCGGGCTCCAGCTCGCTCTGCTCTGCGCTTCAGCCTGCGCTGGGGCTGCGCCGATGGCCTGTGCCCCGGGCGTGGGGGTGTCGTGCC